TCTCTGTTGTTATAATGTTCGTTTAAAGCTCAGGTGACTTCTCTTCGCTTTTTGTGAACTTCCAGATTTTCGTACCGTCTGCATAGATCAGTGCCACCGAGCTGATATTACGCAACAGGTTGTTACCAAGGCTGAAAGACGATAGTGAACCTAAGGCAGTTTCTTATAAAACTCCTGATGTTGAAGCGTTCCAGCCCATTAATACTCTACTCGTTTCAGTACGAAACATCAAGTTCGTTAGATAGTTTCAGGACCAAGATAGAAGTGGGTCTGTGAATCCCATATTTCTGTGACCTTCGCTATGAGAAGTGTGTACGTCATTGCGTCAAAGGCTTTGGAAAGTTAAGGAATATTGCATAAAATGGCATCTTATGATCCCAGCTGACTGTCCAGCCGTCCATAAAAAGATTGAACGCACCAAACCAGCGTTTCCTATAACCGTGTCGAGCTTTATGGTCGAAGTTCTTCCTATCTATTTCTTCCCTGATTTGTTCACTGGCCATTTCTTCTATTATCCTTGGCAATACTGAGAGTAATGCAACTGGTCTGTAACATGCAAGGTCTTTTCAAAACCCCCTTACGGAGGTTGTAGAGAGAGAAAGGCCTACTTCTATTTTCCTGGCATCTTGTGTGAATCTGGAAAACGCTTGAACACATCGCTGACTGACATGCTGGTGGCTTTCGTGTACCGTTTCAGTATTAAAAGGTGAACGACGTCAAACCATTGTGATTTTCCTGAACTCAAGGGTCTTGATTTTCCTATCACTAACTCGTGAGTCAGCTGGATTTTTCTCTAAACGCAAAATGGTGCTACAGTTGAGGGGCGTCCCGCACTTATGGTTTCTTGCTTTAACCTGTTAATGGAGTTGACATTAATTATCTCCGCCATCTGTAAATTAGTAAGATCTTCGTAACTCGTTCTAGGCTCTCTGTATGACTTGATCTTTCTCCAGGTGTGTTTTACCTGAAGTACATTGTGCTGGATAGCATCCTGAGTCACATCCTTCCCAATGGTCACCAACCCTTAGCCTCTACCACTACTAGCTCAGGCACTTCGTGGACCAATATGCTGATTATTTCTTGAATTTTTGTTGATCCTCTAGTAAGACCACTCATGCTCCACGGTTTGTCATGTTTAACTCGGATTTGAGATAATCTCTTAACCGATTCTCTCTGTGATGTCATTAGGATTTCCTCTTAAACACTTGTTGAATTTAGGGGAAACCTACCTTTCACTACACTTTGAGCCTGATACAGAAAAAATCGTTTGGCTAGAGTGGTACTCTCTCCCAGCATTGCACGGTATTTGTCCCATTATTTCATATCAGCGGCCCCCTTTATTTCCAATAAACTGCTTTGCAACGCTGGAACGACAAATAGAGTCGGGGAATATTGTTAAACGCCATTGGTTGCCGTTTTCAGCCTTTTGAGAACTATGCTGTTGCTGTTCCTTTCGACGCTTATCCACTTCCCTTTACAATTAACAAATACTAGAGTATAAGAAAGTGTTGACGATTATCATCTACTCTTACGGGCCACGTTTCACTGCCATAAATTAGGACGGAACGAACTGCTGCGCAGTAAACACGTCCTTTGGTTGATAGATAGATACCTCGCCTACGCCATAAATGACGCAAGTTGGTAAAAGCTAGTCGAGCCTTCTGTATCCATGCTGAGATTTCGTCACACACCAGACCACAAGGGCTGATGAGACTTCCAAGATAAGTGAGGCGGTCAACATGCTCAACTACTTCACTACCTATCATTAGATCGGGTATCGATGCAACCCAATCCTGAAGCAACATTTTGCATTTCGAGAGAGAGAATCGCATCTCGAACATGCTTGCATTGTTGCTTAGAGTCGTCAGAAGACTCTGCATTTTGTCTTCGTCTTCACCAAATCGAACTAGGTCATCGGCATATTTTAATTCAACAAGTGAATCTCCTGGTTAAAGTTCAACCCTTTAAATTTAGATGAGGAAAGTGTTATTTCTAAAAGCACGTCTACGATGAAGTTGTGGAGATAGGCCTGACAAGTTTATTTTGTAAATAGTTTTGATGTCATTTGTATTTATTTTTTTCATTCTTTCACTGTATGGATATTTACCATTAAATGATTGTATCTGTTTTAGTAAATGACCATGAACACTCTTTCCGTTGTGTACCTCACATAGCGTGACATACTTGTAACTGTTCTCAAATACACTGCTACATATACACCCCCGTTCTACTCTCACTCGTGATTGAGCTAATTACATTCTAAATCGAATATTATCCACATTTATAGACTGTGAGCTGGGGCATATCATACATAACGGTGGATTACATTATTGGAGAATTCAACAACCTGTACAGAGCTATCGAGCATTTATAATTGTGGATTTACGGTACCAGACCCAATCAGAACACGCAGCAACTTGGTGAATTTAAATAAAGTCCATATTTTTACGTTGTATTAATAACTATTAACGTTGTTATTTACTCTTTATAACTTGGTTAACATATTTTTTCGGGTTCGTATTTATCTGGTCCACCACAATTATTTGGTGAGCCTTGAATTCATTATAGACGTTTACTGTTTATATTTATATATGTATATATTATTATTACTCGGCACCCTACTCCATTGTTGTTTTTCCCACTATGAACTCTCCCACGAAACTCATTGATACTGATAGTCCACCTGCCAAGCCCCAAAACCCTTCACAACCCGAAGAAAACACCCTAAGCTCCATCAACGCCATTTCAGAGCTACGACTACCAATGTATTGTGTTACTAACCCTAGAATCTTGTTTGCCCAGGTAGAAGCATTATTTACGGCACGAGGCATACGCTCTCAGGCGACCAAATACGCTCACGTTGTCGGAGCACTACCAATAGCTTTGGCTACAGAGGTCGGCGACCTAAATGATAAGGTACCTGAGACGGACCCATACGATGAAATTAAAGCCGTTGTTATTCACCGTACCTCGCAGTCCGATGAAAAACGATTGCAACAACTACTTACAGCTTGCGAATTGGGGGACAAGAGACCCTCGCAGTTACTCAGACATGATAGCCAACGCCACCATGCTACAACGTCTAAATACTGACCCCACAACCCACTCGATTCTGTGCACGGACGCATCTCAAAAAGCCGTCGAGAAATATTGCAACAACAAGTAAACAACATGACTACTCCTATAGCGTTTTTCCCCAAAAGACTGTCACCAGCTCAGGAACGCTATAGCACTTTCGGCCGGGAGTTACTAGCCATTTATTTAGCCGTTAAACACTTCACCTTCTTACTACAAGGGAGAACCTTCACTATAATGACTGACCACAAACCTTTGTGTTACTCGTTCAATACTTCATACGACCGAAATTCAACGCGCGAAGCACGACAATTAGATTACAACAGATATCCAATACGTCAAAGGACACACTAATGTCGTAGCTGACACATTATCACGAATGGATGTAAATACCCTGGCACGTAAGGAAGACATCTATCTGGAAACAATCGCAAAATTGCAAGTAGACGACGCAGATATAAAACGCTGCAAAGAGAAGTCTAACTTGAACCTTAAGCCAGTACCCATCCCTTTCTCAGATACATCTATCGTTTGCGACGTTTCAACGGGTAACGATTGCTCTTTCGTCCCTCTAGCATGTCGTCGACAAGTATTTCGTCAACTGCATGACCTTTGCCACTCAGGAAGCAGAGACACAACCGAATTGATTACTGAGCGTTTCGTGTGGCCAAAGATCAATTCAGATATAAAACGATGGACACGAAGCTGCTTACAATGTCAACGCAGCGAAATTCAGAAGCACACGATCAACCCTTTTCGGCAAGTATCCCCTGCCAGAAAAACGTTTTCAACATATCCAACTAAACACAGTTGGTCCACTGCCAACATCTAATTCATTCACACACATCCTCACTGCAATGGACAGATTCACCAGATGGGCGAAAAAAATATGTTAACCAAGTTATAAAGAGTAAATAACAACGTTAATAGTTATTAATACAACGTAAAAATATGGACTTTATTTAAATTCACCAAGTTGCTGCGTGTTCTGATTGGGTCTGGTACCGTAAATCCACAATTATAAATGCTCGATAGCTCTGTACAGGTTGTTGAATTCTCCAATAATGTAATCCACCGTTATGTATGATATGCCCCAGCTCACAGTCTATAAATGTGGATAATATTCGATTTAGAATGTAATTAGCTCAATCACGAGTGAGAGTAGAACGGGGGGTGTATATGTAGCAGTGTATTTGAGAACAGTTACAAGTATGTCACGCTATGTGAGGTACACAACGGAAAGAGTGTTCATGGTCATTTACTAAAACAGATACAATCATTTAATGGTAAATATCCATACAGTGAAAGAATGAAAAAAATAAATACAAATGACATCAAAAACTATTTACAAAATAAACTTGTCAGGCCTATCTCCACAAAGTTAAACAAGAATGTGGAGAGTAGACAGCCTGGACGAACAGTACTTGAGGAATACATATAAGAAACGGTTGGACAACTTACCTGTTCAAATGCAGCGGCAAACCACGGTATATTATCTGAGGGCATTGCTTAAACCTTAAGGCAAAATCTTTACTTTCCATAGATTCAAGGTGTATCTTTCCAAAAACAACTCCCTGTGCACGCTACATCCTGGCGGAGCACCAATTACAAGACCTGTCTGATAGACTGATACAGTTTTGACTAAGGTTTTCAAATAATCAAGGTAGTCTATCAAGAATTATTATGCCTTATGCTCCTTGCACATTCTCAACCACATTTGAACTTGATGGAAGTAAAATTTAACTTGACTAAGGATAATATCTTACAGTGATTTACCAATTTCATTTTCCTCTTTTATTTTTAACATACCTAGGTTCTTGTCTCAGAGGTTTTGGTGATCCCCTGCTACTAGACACGGAAGCCTGTCAAGCGAAAGCTTCTATTCCGTCCACAACCATTTGCACCATTTGAATCATTTGAGCGGCAATCTCAACACTGTCGCTACTCGTGTTTCAACTGCGTGTTCTGTCTTGTGTTCAGAAATGTGTTAGTAACTATTAGATTTAGGTTGGCTCTAATTTGAACCCAAGGGTGGTGAGTGCTTAAGTTATTTAAATTTAATCTTACTAGTATCATTTGATGTCTGACGACCACAAATAAATAATTTTATTGTCACTTGTTTTACGGACGGGAAGTTAAGTTCTTACGTGGTTTGCATTTCTCAAACTTTGTTGTGTTCTTAAGCAAAAGAAGTGTCATTTTTGATTCAAAGAACCTGTCTTGAGATAAACGTTCGTTAGTTTCCTTTTTAAATTTTACCCAAGTTAATAGTTGAATGTAATCTTACCTCAGCTTACTATTCTGTTTTCACAGTTTTCCGCAGTTCATTACCTAAACACGCGATTAAAGCTTTATTCGTCAGTGTGTTCTAAAGAGATTTGGATCAACTGAGACCACCATTCCCAAGACTAACACACGCCACACAGCCTCCTGTCTTTTCCAAAATAAAACTGATTCAACCTTAGTAAGTAGGACATTTTCAAGGTCACTGAAGCATCGTTCGAAGGTTGTCCATAAATTAGTCTCACTGATATACGTTAGAAGGCTGGTCCTAGGTACCAATCTAATCTTCCGAAATGGCGCTAAACTATCTTTCTAACTTAGAAGTTAGGTCATAAAGCCTAACTCACGTCTAATTGTGATTTTTTGAATGACGTTTTGTTATAATTCAGACCAATACTGTAATGACTATCATCATCAGTAGAACATAAGATAGAAATGTGTGCGTTATCCTTAGACCCTGTATTTTTCACCACTAAACATTACGGTTTTAAACCACAAAATGACTTTTTTACAGGCCGGTTCATTTGTTTTGAAATTCTGTTTGTTGCCTTTCTGTATAAGTTTATAAAATATCTTGATTCCTTATTCTTTTTTATGTATTAATTAGGTTGATTATTTATATATAGCCTGTGAAAAGTGCATATATTCGACTCATTTTATTCTGCACTCGTATATCAGTCGCCCTGTTAACATCTAGTGAAAATTTATCGTAACATGGAAGTAGATAAATACACGTTAATTGTCCAGAATCTTCAGGTTAGTCTCTACTACTAATGGATAAAGTTTTGCATATTTTTCGAGATTCGGGTTTATAATTATGATATAAATATGCATGTAAACTAAATTAGTTAAAAAAACATTAGGACTAGCTTACAACCTTCGACAGAATACTTGATAGGTCTGTCCCATAGTATTTCAATAATTTGATCTAAAATGTTTATATATTTTATTTGTTTCTCATTTACACGTTAGGAGGTAGTAGGTGATGATGAACTTCGAAGTCTTTTAAAGAAACCAAATTCATCAGTATCTGTGTATTGGGGTACTGCAACAACTGGTAGACCTCATATAGCATACTTTGTTCCAATTATTAAGTTGGCTGATATGCTGAGAACCGGTGCAAAAGTCACTGTACTCTTTGCTGACTTACATGCATATCTAGATAACATGAAGGCCCCATGGTATTTGCTTTGTCTTCGTACAAATTATTATGAAGCTGTTATAAAAGGAATGTTCCGTTCAATTTGTGTCCCATTAGACCGGCTACATTTTATACGTGGATCTGATTACCAGTTAACTGAGTAAGTTTGACCTAATACTGTAAATCTGAATATTTCTTTCCAGATATAAGTTTTCTATCTTACGAATAATATTTATGTAGAAACCTTTTTTTCTTTAATCTCAGTATTTTAACGTGCATAACTGTTCTGAATAAGTTAAGTGACAGTGTTGTGAATTTGTTATATATGGATGAATACTTTAATTCTATGTATCTGAACGATAATGTATTTCTGTATGAAGACATATACATTACTCGTTTCGCATTTACATAACTCAACTCTGACTTGTACCCACTATCGTATATGGCTCAGAATAAAAGCGAACAGTAGCCTTAATAGTCTTTTTTCATTAGCATTAAAATACATATTTAAAATAGCCCTGTTCTTAATTAAAATTACTCTTGTAGTGTGTATATGTATACTTTTTTCAATGCCTTTCTCCCATTTTTCTTCACAGTTTTGTAACTTTGCTGTATGTATGTTTTAGTCCCGTTACTATACTAAGCATTTTTTAAAAATGTCCTTATCAAGTACACATTATTCTATCGGTCAGTTATTTCTGTGCTTCACTATTAGAACGAAACAATTGCAGATTACTCTTCATTCCTTTTAATGAAATGAACAGAAAATTGACAATGCATCTCGAAAAACTTCATATTTAAGTTTGTGTTTTATGTTTCAAACCTCAACCGATGGCATAAAGTATAGCAGGCAATTAACGGTTTACAATTTATCGGAATTGAGTATACATGTTTATTTATGAAGTCTATTAAGAATAAGTAAAAGTTTCTCTTACTATTATTCTCATTATATTGTCGTAGAGAATATTCTGTGGATGTATATCGTTTAATGGCTTTAACATCAGTTCATGATGCACGTAAAGCTGGTGCAGAGGTTGTTAAACAAGTTAGTAATCCACTTGTATCTGGATTATTATATCCTTTATTACAAGCATTGGATGAAGTACATTTAAAAGTTGATATTCAATTCGGTGGTGTAGACCAACGGAAAATATTTATGTTAGCTGAAAAGGTAATTAATTAACTAATTTATTTATTTAAATATATGTGTTGGTACAAAGAGACATCAATATATATATATATATATATATATATATATATATATATATATATATATATATATATATATATATACTTATTCCAAACAGTCACTGACTTGTGCATTGAATTCCACTGCTAGCGACCTTCTCTGCTTAGAAATGCTTGTGACTCACTGGCAATATCGAGGCAAAGGATGCTCGCATGCCAAAAGAGATTGATCAGTTGCAGTACTATACATCATTAGAAAGATCGAAATGACCAATATATGAATTAAAATTTAGACTTCATGATTTCCTTCTAGTTGTATTTTGTGTGACCTCCAAATGCCTTGGTACAGCCGAGTGTGGGTAGAGTTCGCCCTCCCTTTCGAAATGCTTTCACATGACCACGCGTATACAGCCACTACCACAGAAGTCCTACTCACTGCTTTCTCGCAGCCTGGGTGTAGATATGGAGGATCCAACTAGGGGAGTTGGAAAGCCCTGACTCCAAACTAATGGTGCACATGGGCTCCAGGATCCTGGTCACCGGCTACCGTGGGACTGCATCTCCTGACGTTGCGCCACTTTCTTATGGATCAGGCCTTTAGGTCGAAGGCTCTGGATGTGGCTCTCTAAGAAAATCACCTGCTTCAGTTTGAACACTCGGGCAGTATCATAGCCCACACACAAATCAAGTGACTTGTGTGGCGCTTATTTATTCGGTGCCCCTTTGTACCAATATTTATGTGTTCAAATAAAAATAAATAATAATTGTGTGACATTATAGTATTGTATGATATATCTTAAGTATTCTATCTCATCAATAAACTCGTTGAGACTTACTTGTGTGGTAATTTGTTTCTGCCTTTAGTAGTCAGCATCTGCAAATGTGAGTCTTTCAGAGGCCAAATTGAGTTTCTGCACATATAGTTTCGAGGTTTAAAAATGGTACGTTTGCTAACTAACAGTTAATTGTTACCAACCTAATGATATAACTACTGTTTTGTTCTTAATACTGATCAATATCAGACAATCGTTTAGGCACCAGACGACATTCTTTGGTTATTATTACCTAACGATAGATATCCTCGAACCCATTTTTCTCACATGTTGAGGCCAATGAGTGAGCAATGGTGAAATTAGATCTAAGGTATAAACAAAGACACCAATGGTTTAAAATGTTTGATGTGGCTTCCTACGTTGTAGCTGACTGACTGATATGGCTTCGAATCAATCACGCTCGAACAGCTGTATTCATCTCTTACTCCCGGAGTTTCAAAGTTACTTTTATTTTATTCTGTGAATTCATTCCTTCCTCTCAAATAACCATATTCTCTATCCCTAATCTTTTCCTGCCATCAATATTGCTATTGTAATATTCACTTGATAATTTTATTTCACTGTGCTGATTTAGTGTGACAACTTTAAACGGTCTATATGTGTACTAGACTTTACATTATCTAATGAGTACAGACTGACTGGCTGAAGATTGGTGGACCAGTCTACAGATTCTAAAAATACCGAGGTTTATATCTTTGAAATAGCATCTCTGCAAAAAATCATACTAATGATCACAGAGGGTAAATTTTATCGGTTAGTTACGATTGTTTTAATCATGTTATAAAGATTTCACATTGAAAGAATAGAGAGTATTTATCATGATTGAACGAAATTTTCATATTATTTTAATTTTTTTAAAATTTTCAATTTCATTTCTATTATAGTATTTACCTCATCTTGGTCATAAGAAACGAATACATTTAATGAATCCAATGGTTCCAGGATTGACAGGGGGAAAGATGTCCTCTTCAGAAATCGACTCAAAAATTGATCTACTTGACCCACCGGAGTTTATTGCCAGTAAATTAGCATCATCTGTTTGTCCACCGAATATGACGGCTGAACAAGGCAATGGAGTTTTGGCATTTTTAAAATATGTTATATTTCCTTTAGTACCAATGAGAACAGGTAATTATTCAATTTCTCATTTGAAATTATTTTTCTGTATTGCAAAATAACGATTCATTTTATGTTGTAATTCAACATCTATGTTTTACACTTGTCAGCTATATCAAATAATTATCTTTACAAGAGTTGAAGGAAATCATCCAGGAGCTATGCTAGAAATTAGCTTGGCCTTAACGCCTCTAAAACTGAACGACCTGAGTTTGAATCCCACAGGGAGTTCAAGTTTACACAGAACTGTATATACCTCTTACTGCCAGCAAGGTAACTAGCACAAAACCTAGATGAGGACGAGCTTTTAAGCACCGATAGTGGCCAATCATTAAGTCTCAAATATTGTCCAACATACCATTTAGACTAGTTGCTACATTTCAACCTACGTTATCGGTGTTAGAATGTGCATACGGGTACATAGATCGGAATGTCAACTCAATGAGTAGACATACAAAGCTCGTATTGTGACCCCAAAGGCTTTTGATCCACTCACCTCGATTATTGAGCAGATAATATAAAGTCATAAGTATATCTCTGCTCTAACGGATGATTTTATGAAGAAAAAGCATGGTCATTAGTAGAATATTTCGGTACCTATATTATAATTGTTTCGAATTTTCTGTAAATAATACATTTGTCCAACGGTTGAGTTTTAAACTCGATCATCACTACTAATGGACTAGACAAACATGACGCTGACTACTGATAAATGATCAATCAGTGTTGATATTTACGCGGAATCGTTCTGCTTTTTTATACTTGTTGATAATTTTTAGTGCTAATCAGATTCTGTCGAACACGATGCAATGTGGCCACACTAATCTGAATGACTCGATATCTTACTATGTTGGGATGATTAGCAGGTTATTGGAGGTCTTCGTCAGTAGACGTTCCTTAACCTACTATCCACACTAGTTAATTTATCAACAAGGTAGGTGTACCGTTAGTCCATAGGAAACTGATTCTCCTGCATTGGCATTTGAACCCACATCATCCAGATAGATGCACAGGCCAATAATCAACTGTTCAAAGCAACAAAAAAGATTAGCTGAGCTAGACCTGTGTACTTCGTTTGTAATCCATTGTTTGAGATAATTCTTGGTTCTTGTAATAAATAAGATAATTATCTCATCAATTGGTCATTTAATTTCACCAAAAATAAACGGACAGTAAATTCTTTTATACATTCAGTGTTCTCAATACAAGGACTTTGCAGCAACAATAAAATATCCATTCATTCCTTCACTGATGACATATCAACCACTTCTTATTTCACTCAGCCCCGAATGTCCTGCTACGGCCGAAGGTAGGAATAGTCCTCTCTCCCTCTCAAAATTTCATATGGCCACGCGTATATAGCCACTGTCAGGGAAGTCCTACTCACTGCCCTCTAGCGGTAGGGTTGTTGTTTACGAAATTAAGATGAAAAGCGAATGTCCGACGCTTTAACCGCGTTGGTGAATATGGAGGGTCCACCTGGGGGAGTTTGAAAACCCTTATTCCAAGCCAATGGTACACATGTGCTCCTGAATCCTAATGGAACAAATGACGTATGAATCTATTGTTGGCTACCATGAGACCGCATCGTCTAACGTTGCTCCACTGTCTTGTGGACCAGGCCTTTAGGTTTGTGGTTCCCTGGTAAAAGTACTTGCTTCGGTTCAGGCACCCGGGCATTATATCAGCCCACATATGAATTTATTGACAACTACTTTGTTTGGGACATGTGTATTTTGATTCCCCTTTGTACCAATGTTCATGTGTTTAGTTAAAGAAATATGAATATCATAGTAACTGAGTTAATTGTCATCATCGATCTCGGCCTTACATAAATTACTAGATTTATAAAAATCTAGTTATTTGTTACTGATTTATTTTATTATTTAACTGTTCGACCGTGATTTTTATACTTTGATAACATTTTAACAGGATTATCAATTCCTCGAACTCCGAAACCTTATTTTAATTATACTGAAGTAGAGAAAGATTATCTTATGAATAAAATTCCATCGGATTCATTAAGAAATGTTGTTACAGAATGTTTAAATGGATTGTTGGTGACTATTCAAAATGATTTTAAAGATCCTGAACTTCAAGAACTTGTACGTAACGCATATCCTACGGTAGATGGAATTAGTTCAGCGAATGCCAGTAAGTTAGTTGTTGTTTGTAATTTGTATTCAAATTATATTTGACTTTTATCAACTTATTTTGATTATCTGATCGATAACTATCGGATGGATAACATGTTAATAAGTTGGTCATAAACAATGTAGAACTTTGCACATATATGCTTCGATTCAAGTTGTTGTACCACACCTCACAGCAAGACAAATTCTAGAGAGATGGAAGTGGCAACTGTATTAGTGATAGTAAGAATTAACATTAACTAAAGACAGTATGATTCGAGTAGAAAACACAAATTTATCAAACAAAAGTTATGTGTATTTTATAACAAAGAGTGAATGAATGTATCTGCACCATTGTAATCGTTTCCGAGCCATATTGTCTAACATCTCCAACTACTGGTCACGACAACCAGGTAGTCTGCATTTATCAATATGGCTTGAACTAATGGTTAATTGTCTCATGGACGAATACCACGTTTTGATTTGTTCACCTTTATTTTTTTCCATCCTACTCCTATACCAGCAAACATTGTCAAGACGAGTAGTGGTTTGGGATATACATATTACTCGTTGTAACCATTTCATTTAGTGAAGGTGATAACATGTTGTATGATGTCAAAACGAACTGTCAAATTTGTAGGTGTCATTACCAAGGTTTGATTCGAAAATTTCAAATAAATTGAACATTGGGTGTTAGTTTGTTATTAATAAAAATAATGTATTTGTAATATCTCAATGAGTACATAAATTAAGTTTTTAAATTTTCTGACGTTTCATAACTCAGTGTATGCCACTTTTTCAGAGAGTAAAAAGTGGTTTAAACTGTGTTATGATTTCTTTCATTATGGCCCAGCTACTCCTATTGCTTAGTATTCTTGGACACTGCTCACTCGACAAGTCCCTAAATCAGAACATGGTTGAACAGGAACGTAATTATATTCCAGATAAAAAGACTGGATGGAAGTAGGAATCACAATAAGAAGAACGTTAGCATATTCATAATTTCTACATAAGAAGATTCTAGAGTCTTCGCTAGCACTGATTAGTCAGGAAATGACCAATCAGCGTACCCCATCACAATCCTGCACGGACGATGCCTTAATCCCGCTAACACACTGAGTCACAAAGCCTCAGCAAATTTAACTACTTTTCTACTCATTGGGATATTACAAATATATTATTCTTATTAAATTGTTTTTTTTGCACCAGACTGTAAAAACACGGTCTACTGTATATATATATATATAAATATATATATATATATATCTTTAAATTATTTGACCTTCAATCATCCTGTACTATGTGACTTTATTGGGTTTCAAACTCTTATTTGAATTTGACATCTGATTGCCTGCTTGAATATCTGGGATAACTGTTCCTGGCATCTACATATTTCAACAAGTTATCTGTTTTCATGTTCGTTTCAACACATCATTATGTCTATTAATCGCATAACTTATTCAGATGCATCTATGAAAAGTTTACGACCTTTCACTGTACAAGCTACAAAAAAGTACAATCAGAGACATCTTGGTGGCTAACAATATGCATTGAAAAGAATGAACACGATTCAGGTGTCGATTCCTAAACTGCCAACATATAACTTAATATTTATCATCAGAATCGATTAAGAAATAAGAAAAGGGAACTTGTTGAAATACTTTGTACTGAGAATTCTATATTATACCAAAAAATATAATATTGAATAAAGCCATTAATAATAATAATAATAATAATAATAATAATAATAATAATAATAAAATCATCCAATGAAATAACCAAAAGTACTTTGAGACCATTAATAAAGTAACTTCAAGGTTATATGTATATTTCTTGATAATTAGTGTAAGTTCATCAGTGATGTGTTATTACAATCGTGAACTGACTAAATTAGCCTCACATACTATGTATAATTAACCATTGTCTACTTTATGGTTTCCTACCGAATAAAGTAGATTTCAGCTGTAAAATAGTTTACTGTGATACTAGTGTTGTGAACAAGAACTCAGATGGGGTAGACCAGTGTTAGGATATTCGGAAAAATATACCAATAATTATCATGTGAAGTCTAGTGGTGTCCTTGGACTTTAAATGGACATTCCCTTTTGGTCAATATTTATTTCACTTGTTAAATATTGTACAAATGTTGTTTTCTATTTTATAGTACGATCTGGTTTGTTTGGTTGGTATATAAACAGAGTATGTCTGAAATATATAATGATTCATAACTCAGAGGCTGAGACTTGTGTTCTGGACTCAACTGGCTGGGCTAGACAGCGGAGCAGGTCCAATCACCACTCTAGGTCGTTCGTGCGTGTTTCATGTGTCATTGATCTGACCGATAATTTGCTGTGCGCTCTAATCTGCAAACCACACGTTACAACGATCAGTTTGTTTTTTAATACACGATCACACAGTGCAATAGCATGTGAAAATTCATACATCAAATACATCACTTTCACATCCTTAAATTGTCTCCTGCAAGTTTCATTGTTCCTGCTTTGCTGTTTTTATCTTGATTGCTTTCAATTTTCTTCTCTCTTCTCTTCATTTCAATCTACTCAACCTTCTGCTCGCAGACATTCCACTTCCGACTGGTGTTACATACTACTTATACCTACGAACATAAGTAGCATACGCCACAATAGGAGACATCAACATAAGATAAATGTATAATAAATACTAACTTTTTAAAATGAAGTTTTTATAGGAGGAGGAAAGGAGTTGAATAGAAACTTAAACATATAAAATGACATCGAACAGACACTGGTTCTAAATTGAAATTTTAACAACAATTATTACCGAATCGTTTTGCTAAACTTGTGTTTTATGAATTGATATATAGACATTTTTTTGTCTACATTCCAATTTAGAGCTTGAAGAAGTTCCAACTATGTTTACAAATGAAAAATCTACTATTCTACAAGAAATAGATAACAGAGTCAATGACATGCCAAAAATTACTGATCATTCGAATTTATTGGATTCATTTGAAAAAGAATTTGTGGTAAACCTTGCTTCTTTTTTATCATAATCGTTGAATTCATCTTCTTTATTTTTCTAGTTTATCTGCTAGTTTTCGTCATAAATTAATGTTAGTTAGACAGCCATTAAAAAATAAGAGATATTGGTTAGCTATTTCGTCTAAGTATGGGACTTCACAACACAATATGCATCCAAGATCTCACCAGGAAACGAATCTAGGCTCTTCAGGTCTCGTGAATAGCGTTTAACACTACTACTGAATTAAAATCTAATGGATTGTCGTCCTAACTTAATTCAGTTCTCAATATTATGCAATCATATTTCAATAATATTGATAGGCAACTGCCACCAAAAACTAGACATGGTTGAACTCTACTTGGTGTGGTTTCTCATCAGAACTTTTGGAAAATAGCCTTTCAAAATTAGTCACTAGTAAGCATATAATGACAACAGTATATATTAAATTGGGGAGTTTTAATGTAAGACGAACGGATAATATGTGGGATATGAAGGCCCTTTGAAAAATATATGTTCAGTATGCTCAGGTGTAGATTATATAAAACTGTACGTTATTGATACTATGAATATGGAGTGAAATGAATCCGGATAGGGTGCTCGACTTCCTCCCTCCTCACTAAGTTACAACCTCTAACTCCTCTGCATGTACTATCGTTTGCACAACCGGATAGTATCACTGGCTCTCATCATTCTGAAGTATAGCTCTGTGATAAGCATACAAGTCAAATTTTTACGTGGTAAATGAGTTGAATAAATAAATATATTTTACCTCACATTAAAAAAAAATCTATATCTTCTTACTTTTAATAAAATGCTTTTTTTTATTAGGGATGTACATCACTTCTGGAGAAACGTCTTAATCAAACTAATCGCCTACGATGTTTATGGTCAGTTACACCGATTGGTTTACCACATCTTGGCTATTCAATCCCGATGAGATCACTTGCTCGTTTATCACGATTAGATGGTGTTTATGTACGTTTTTTTAGTCTTGTTCTGTTCTAATCAAATGTTCTCGCTTATTACAATTTTACTGACGCAATACAACATAAATAAAACGTTTTCGTCTAGACACACAAATCTAGCATGATCGTTGTAGAGCCGGTGCTTTTCGAAATGCGAAACAATAATGTTTTAGTTGTTACGTAACGGCGTATGCAATAATAATAATAATAATAATAATAATAATAATAATAATAATAATGGCGGTTATTATTGTCTCAATCAACAGATAAGATCAGCACGCAATATACCTATATAAATACATAACAACTGATATAGAAAACTACCATAATTTATGTTCAAAGGCTATATGATATGATGAAATGTCGGAGATTATTTATAGTTCAGACGAATACTTTTGATGGTTTTGTTTTCTCTGAACTAAATTTAATTACGAAAATACTGCAACGAATCAACACTATATAGAAAAAAACGGCTCCTACAACTTTTTTTCCATCCATCGTACGTAAGATGGTTTAATAAAAAGGAGAATATACCAGGAAATTTAAACTTTCTGTTTAGGTTTTTCAGTATTTAACATTCCAACAAATTGTAACCCTTTTTTCAGTAGCTCGTGAGTACACACAGTTAACATTCATAGTTATTCAGTTCAGACATTTCTAAAACCAGTGGGTTAACTGGAATATTTGCATAGTTGGAAAGCAGGTGGCTTAAATGCATGATCTATCCTGAATGATAGGTTAGTTTGATTCTACAACACAATAGGTTAAGGCTGAGCAGTTGTGCGATAAATCAATGGTTAAGATTTTGGACTTTTGACCGTTAAGTCACAAGTTCGAACCCCGATATACCTACTTTTGTTTGGGCAATAGTGTTGGGTAGCATCATTACCTCTTATGTTCAGAATGTAGCTCAAAGTGCCTGGGAAATTAATTGTAACTAAATAGAAATTTAATGATTATTTTTTACTTATTATGTTACCACTTCCTATACGGTTCATAATAAAACTTTTACACCAGAATAACATGATCTGAATAAGCTATTACTCCTTAATCGTTTGTTATTTTTTTAATGCTATTACTTCTTGTACTCATTTATGTACTCTGTTCTAATGGCAGGTCATTGTATTAATTAACAATATCTCAGCTCATTTACGTGGTTCCATTCCATGGGATGTGATTAAACAACGTGGTGAATTTTGTCGTGTAATTTTAACTGGCTTATTCACTGCTCTTGGTGGTAACCTGAATCAATTTAGCTGTATACTTGGTAGCGATTTTCAATTACATTCGTAAGTTATCACTGATTATTAATGGATAATTTTTTTTCTATTTTGTGTTATTTGTACTAAACAGACAGAATTAAGTGTTATTAATTTACATCATAAGCTAATCTTACTAAGACAAAACCATTAAAAACCAGAAGGTATATTTCCAATCGCCCGATCTTAACTCAGTAGCCTAAATTTTATGCGCTGGCTTGTTCACCGCGAAATCTGGAGATCCTGAATTTGATTCACCGATGGGGTCATGGATGTGCAGAACGTATGAGTCTAATATTAAGACAAAACATCTGTCTAGTGCCTCTTAGTTTTCAGTAGATTATTTCGTAGTGTCGACTATACGGCACAAGCTCCACACAACAACATCCGTGGTTTTGCTATTTTATAGACAGAAATGATGATTTATTTTGACTATATTTTTGAGAGTTCAGTCATTAGACGAATGGTTGTTCACAGTTTATGTCTTATACTAGTTCCGAATAGATATAATCGGTATTTTATACTTGTATAGTCAAGCGGAAAGAATTCTTCAACTATCCAGTATTTTTAGAAACTTGATACGAGAAAAATAACGCTGAAGTAATAATGATTGTGAAAGACCAGCTTTGTAGATACACAAAAAATACCCGAACTGTATGGATTATTGTTAGATATGTATGAATAAGTGAAAAAGTGGAACTTTGAAAGCTATTCACTCAGTTTCAGTTTGTGAAAGTGACTTGTGTTAATCCTAGTAACAAGAGTCTCTAAGTTGATCCAACTCTCCATTGAACATATCGACAGATAGTGATTCAATCGTCTGTTGAGTTAAAGATTCTATGGAAAAGTCGATAGTCAACTGACAATTAATTGGTTCATAGCTTATGAACTTTCAAAAAGTGTTTTCATAAATTTTCTATTTTAGAATACAAGAAAAACTAGAGCATATCCGATGCAAAATTTTTATTAAATAATTTAAAAACTGTGATTAAACCATCTCTAGTCTTTCTATATGAAAGAGAGAATATATTTAGTTTAGCCATTCTTTCATCTTACGGTAGGTTTGCGATTCCGGGAATCAGCTTAGTTACGATTCTTTGGTTCTCTTCTAACGGTTCACAAGAGCTGGTTGTTTGTATGCAACACTTGAGTCTAGGATAAATGAACTTAATTATTAGCTATTTGTTCTGTTGTACTTTTATAATATCCCAATTGTCAGCTTTCATTTAACTCACTCACTGTTGATATACATCTAACCACTCATAGATTATAACTAATTAATCATGTTCTTATTACTCAATAGTTTGACATCACAAATGACGAGTCCCTGTTTATGATATGCTGTGATTGTATATGTTTTGTGTCATGAAACATACGATAGTACAGAGTAAATCTGTCACTTTTTCTCATATTCTGTTTTTACTAACTACAAGGCAGAAGAAATTTTTATTGTCCAATCAATATCAGCATACTTGATAGGTAAAATAAGTAAAACGGATAGTCATATAGCGAAATAAAATTACCGATTACCTTATATCATCGAGGCTGGAATACCTATTCACCTCATTCTTTTTTCAAACGTTGGAAAATCATCAATTCCTAGTATATAAATTGACATGAATCTTAGAACTAATTTATTGTAGATAAGTTTGAAATTATCAGTATGATGATTTGTGGAGATTGTAATACTTTCACAGTTAAAATCACGAGTCGATCTAAGGTATATCACCATTGTAAATTTAAAAACAGTGGACGGACATCTCGTCCCATTATGGTAGTCCTCGACAGTGGGCATCCACGATCCCGCATGCGGGACCCGAACTCAAAACCTTTGATCTCGCGCTCGAACTCAGCCTCTATATCACTGAGTTGGCATTCGACGGTGTTAATGTCCAACTTCGATCAACCCATGATATTTTTCAACCCTTCACCCATTGCCTGAGGTGGAAAATTGTCTCACACTCGACACGGATATGACTCCACTAGTTACGGCTTCTTACTAGAATCCATGATCAACTCAGACAATGGATGAAGGGTTGCTCAAGATCATGGGTTGATTGAAATCGCACTCAACTCAGTGATCTAGAGGTTAAAAGTTCGCATACGAGACCATAGGTTCTGAGTTTGAGTCCCATGTGCAGGATTGTGGATGAGCACTGCCGTGGAGTCGCACATTAGAACGAAATGACCGTCGAGTGTCTTCAGGTTTTCAATGATGATCTAACTTAGATCGACTCGTGATTTCAACAGTGAACAAGTTTAAAATTATTACTATTGTTCCTTAAACAAACAAACAAACGAAAACTTTACCCTAATTATCTATATCTGTTTCAGGGAATATATGTTAAATTTCTATCGTTTAGTGAGCTTAGTTCCAGAAACAGATTGTTTAATATCAAGTAAATTATCTGAATTCGACAATACAAATCAATCAACTATAAATCATAATCTTGATGCTAATAATAATAATACTGAACTAATTAATGATTCATCTATTCGACCTTCTACACTTGGTGAATTATTAATACCTTGTTTAGATTTAATTGATACTATACAATTATCTGCAGATATTCGTTTGGCTAGTATACAACAAATACAAAAACGTCAAATTTTTCAATCTAAAGTAAATATATGTATATTTGTATTCATTACATTGTTCGTTAATATGTTTACTTTTATTATTTATTCTTTTCATTACTACTGAATTCAATTGGTACATATACTTCTTGTTTTGATTGTCCTAGTATTACTCTTTAGGTCTCAGTAGTTTGTTTAGTAAATAATATATTGGGTGTTTGAATGTATTGGGTTTGTGTTCTCAATCTTTGAATACTAGAAAAAAACCCTAAGTGAAATGCGCAAGTACATCCAGTTGATGAGTTCTAGATTGGACGAAACACACTTAAATTCTACTAATCATCATTAATTCCCTTTAATAAGTGTTTTTATTCGTTTATTTTCTCTTGTATATTTACGTATGAGATTGTATTCTATGTGTTAATATGAATAATAATATTCCTTGTGAGTTTCATCCCTGCTAATTTATGATTTCAAGTATGTTTCTAATTGAAACATATTCAAGTTCAACATTTCAGTCTTTATTCATAGTTAGAAGCTGAGATTCTCATGTCCTCTTATTGTTACAGATACTCATCAAAATTGGGTTTCTTAGAGGCTCACGTCTAACCTGTAAGTACTTTGTATACTAGGGGAGCATGCAGAGTTGTGTGGGGTGAGGAGAGCTGGAAAATAGAAAAAAAATCGGGGCTAACAACTTAGCAACCATACGCATTACACTTTTATTAAGAGCATTGGGTAACAATCAACAATAACACAAGCTAGACCATTATTTAAAACATAGAAGCACTGGACGGCCGTTTCGTATTAGTATGGGATTCCTCGATAGTGCGCATCCACGATCCCACACATGAGACACGAGTCTAGGACCTTCGGTCTCGCGAACAAACTCTTAGCCTCTGGATCACTAGGCCGACAATGATGGTTTAGCTTAGATTGACCCGTGATTTCAACTGTGAAGATACTACTATCTCCACAAATCTCCATACTGATAATAGTGTAAGCCTCAAACTTAGACAATTTTAAAATCGAAATTAGAAGTAGAAAGTTTAACCCACTGCATGTTTTTCTGTTTGATTCCATTTTTTAGAGCAAAATATCTATGGTTTCAAATGCCAAATTACTATTTATCTTTTTCTACTGAGTTGATAGATATTGAATTCGCATTTAAGTATTAAAAACATAAAGTTTGACAAAACGATCTGAATAGACATGATGATGTAATAGAAAGAGTATAATATTCGTTTATACAGTATAAGCGATAACAATAAAAGACTGTTTGTATACAGATAAAAACCGTATAAAATTAGTAAGTTAGCATTAGGTTATAGCGTGAATGGAGTAAGATGTTTTTTGTCACGAAAATTAAAAGTATTAAAGGTGTTAAATGTAACGAATTAATATTTCTACCATATTATACAAGTTCATTGGACAACTGCAATGCTGAAAGCAGTAAACTTGTGGTCTAAGGATCAAGTTATACTACTGAAGTGTGATGGTTTCAATGTATTTCTCTCAAATAGCCAGTATGTAGCACGATCCTATTCTTTTACAACAGAAGGAGGCGTTTAGAAAAGATCAACCCTGATGGTAACACATCTCAGATTTCCTGTATCTAAGACAGGTTTTGAACTGTACAGAATTAACACATTATTATTCTCTGTGCTAATGTGGTATGGCAACTCGAACTGATGTACGTACGTACAAAGTACTACGTTGTTACTGACTGACTGAACACTTTATTATTACTATTGAAGTTTATAAACGGTTCGTATGACTTTTTATTTATAAAATTGCTCACTATACAATTTGTATTTTTCTTTACAGTTCCTACGCCATTTTCCCAATTCTTTTGAAACTATCCATCTTACACATCCAATACTCATTAGTCTTCAAGCTCCAACTAATCAAATTGGTGAATTATCATCATTTCCTCCAATGAAATCATGTCCTTTATCATCTCGCTGTACAGGTCCAGCATCGGCTAAAACACTAGCAGCATTGCTTGAAGATAATTATCTACCTTTAATTGAACCACCTTTACATGGATCCTCAGAAAAATCCCCACTGTCTGGTTTAAAACGTCGAATTAAACGTGCATTTTGTCAACCGAATAATGTTGATATAAATCCTATATTGGATATATGCCGTTGGGTATTAATTCCAGATTTCTCGCCTGGAGGTATTATTTATGTGTGTATTATGTTTAGATCATGTCTGTCTCTTTATCCTTTTGCTAACTTTTTTAAATCTTAATATTATATTATGTAATGAGAGGTCACAAGTTCGAACCCCGTCTCATATACCTAATGCAAGTTCATTTACACGACGGTAAGCAATATTTATATAGGTAAGAGCTATTATTATAACTAATCAACTTCCTTAAACTGATACAAATTTAACTTGGATTCAAACGTGCAACTTATTAGTTGAAAAGCCACTGTTATTTTTCAATTTAGTGCACTGATTGTTATTACTAATTATTACACAAATGCAATCGAGTACATTAACCTGTACTTGAATCAATCAAAAAAGCATTAAAGATAATTTGATGAAGAAAACTGATTTACGTAAACGGTAATTGTTATACTCCAATGTTGACAAAAAAATGGTAAGGTGAAAATAACGCAGGTTAATTGTTTATCCTCAACTCAGAGAGGCCAGGTTTCACAAGCATAGAGCAAAATTGCTCTCACCGACGAGTTATAGATCCGATCTTTTACAGCCAAACTGACATCACGAAGGCGCCAAAGATGGTCCAGATTGGCATAAGCCGCTCTGGCTTTCACTATACGTGCACTGATCTCAGCACTTATGCAGCTACTTAGATACACGAACTTCTCGACTCACCATCCAGGGTGAGTACATGATTAGGATCCTGCAGTCTTGTTGAAGTACTTTGCATTTCAAAGGTGCAAAGCACATACCGTGCCTACGGACACTGATTGCCAATTGATTAAGTGCGGATTGCATGCCTTGGGCATTATCGTACAGTAAGACGATATCGTCCGCATACTCAAGGTCGAGAAGTCTTCTTCCAGGCAACAGATCTACACCGCCATTGCTTACATACATCAGAGCTGTTTCCAGAATGCCATCGATGGCAAAGTTGAAGAGGAATGGTGAGATTGGGCAACCCTGCCTAACTCCACTGCTCGAATAGAACAATGGAGGGAGGTGGTTGTATGCCCTCACTCTGCCTGAAGTGTTTGTATATAGGGCTTTTAGGATGTTAATAAACTTCTCAGGCATACCCTTCTTCAATAGACAATCCCAGAGAACAGTCCTATCCAACGAATCGAAGGCAGCCCTGATGTCAAGAAACACTACGATTGTTGGCCTTTGATAAGTATGACGGTGTTCTAACATTTAGCGGAGGGTGAAGATATGATCAATACATCGTCGACCAGAACGGAAACCAGCCTGCTCCTCGCGAGTCAATCTTTCTCGGGTTTTGAACAGTCTACGAAGTATGACGGAAGCCAATAGCTTGGACGCAATCGGAAGTAGACTTATCCCGTGATAGTTGTTACAGGAACAACGTGAACCCTTTTTAAAGATAGGGACAACTATTAACTCATTCCATGACGTTGGTACACTCTCTAGTTCCCAGACCTTTGTAAACAACGTCGTCAATTCCTTAGTCAGAAAGTCACCACCATCTTTAAAAAGAGCCGGAGGTAAGTCATCTGGGCCTGATGATTTGTAGCGTTTCAAGAGTTGGAGTTCCCTGCGGACATCCGTCTCATTCGGTGGATCAGTCGTCACCGGCCATTGAGGGCAGGACAGTCCATCCGATGTTGCCGGAGCAGCAGGCCAGTTGAACTACCCTTCGAAGAATTCTGCCGATCGTCCAAGACGTCGATAGATGTAAGTGATTGGCATCCCTCCATCCTCGTAGATTGTTTCGCTCACACCAGACTTCTTTCTGCCAGTGGCTCGGATGAGTTGGAAGAGATTCCGGTAGTTACCAGATGCAGCTGCTGCTTCCAGTTCATTAGCACGCTCTGACCACCAGGCTTCTCAGTCCTTACGCAAGCTTTGCTTGATTCCATTACGTAACATCCTTCGTTTGTGGTCAAACTCACGGTCACCCGGAGAAGACTGACGGGATTCAATGAGTTGTAAGGAGCCTGAAGAAACCCAGCGCATATAAGCGTGACGTTTCGCGAAGCCGCAAGCGGCTTTACTCGCCATTTTGATGGTGGAATGGTAGCTAGCCTAGAAGCTAGCTCGATTCGATACTTACTTGCAACAGAAGTTGCAACCAGCTCGCTGACATCAATCCTTTGGTGGCGGTCACTTTGTTGGCCACTGAAAAGTAAGGTAAGATCGGTGCAAACCAGGGCATGATCAGAGCCTATATAGATACTCCAAAAGGAGCGGCAGTCTTGTACACAACCACGCTAGTGGTAGCTGATCGCGATGTGATCAATCTGAGTCCAGGCTCGAGATACACATTTGCGATGACTGTGCCGGAAGTTAGTGCTAGCCAGAGACAGGTGGTGTGTGTGCACAGTTGCAGTAGACGGTCCCCGTTATCTGTCCTGCGACCAACAATTCCCCATCGGCCACCTAAATGATTCTCTTCTGTGCCTAGACGCCCGACCTGAGCATTCAAGTCTCCGGCTAGTACTGCAATATCTGTCGAACGCACTTTCTGGAGAAGAACAGATAACTGGTGGTAGAATTCATCCTTGATTGCATCCGGGCTGCAATCTGTCGGCGCATAAGCGGAGACGACGAAAAGACATACTCGACAACTCATGAGTCACCTTAATTAGTGTATATGAAAATAAACCTGGATACAGATGTAACTGTTCACTTGTATTTATGTATGTTTTTCTCAATTTATACTATGGGTTATGCAGAATCTTCTGACCACTATAAGCAATAATGCAAGCATGTTCTGCATGCGATTCTCCCCCTCGAAATGCAAAAGGTTGCTTCAGGATTGGGTTGCATCGACACCCGAACTAATGATAGGGAGTGAAGTAATTGAGCGTGTCGATCGCTTCACTTATCTTGGAAGTCTCATCAGCCCTTGTGGTCTTGTGTGTGACGAAATCTCAGCACGGATACAGAAGGCTCGACTAGCTTTTACCAACTTGTGTCATTTATGGCATAGGCGAGATATCCGTCTGTCAACCAAAGGAAGAGTTTACTGTACAGCAGTTCGTTCCGTCCTACTTTATGGCAGTGAAACGTAGCCGGTAAGAGTAGAGGATATTCGTAGGTTACTAGTATTCGATCGTAGGTATCTTCAAAGCATTGCTCGTATATCCTAGGACCACCGAGTAAGTAATGTAGTTGTTAGAAAACGGGTACTAGGTAAGGATGGCAAATCAATTGATAAAATAGTGAAACTTCATCAGTTGAGATGGCTGTGACATGTGTTACGTATGCCCAACCACCGACTGCCCTGGCGTTCAATGTTTTATGGTGTAGGATAGTGTAGGCTGGAAGAAAGCTAGGGACGGCCAGAGCAAAACATGACACAAATCCATGAAGTTACTGACAAGTGGACTGAGTCATGTTGGTAGGTGTAGACTACCTGGTTGGGGACCGCGAGATGATAACAACCGATGTTTAGAGACGCTGAATGACATGGCTCAAAATCGTTTGCAGTGGCGCAGGTGCATCAACTCTTTGTGTTCTCGCAAATTCTAATCTCGTGAATCCTCCTTGTCTCTTTTTTTCTCTTTCCAAATTTATTTCACTGTATTATACTCCTTGAATAACATCTTCAAACCCTCATAGTTCTGATTACTGCTTATGCTTTTCCTACCTCTAGCAATATGGGATTTGAATCAACAACTGTATCTCTGTGTTAATGTGGTATGTCAACTCGAACTGATGTACGTACGTACGTGCGAAGTTCTATGTTGTTACTGACTGACTGGCTGACTGATGGGTAATTTTCGACTATTTCATGATTAATTCTCTTGTATTTTTTTGTTTCTACTTTAGAACCTTTTATTATTCCACGTTCAGAGAAAAATGGTGGTCCATTGCATATTAAATCTCAGTCATCTACACTTAATGAATGGGATTTATTAAAACAATACTTTTCTAATGGTACATTACATCCAGCTGATTTAAAACCAACTGTTGAATATTTATTATCAATACAAAATACTAATAGTTTAGCTAATCGACTTAAACAATCATTACCAGATTGGAATGAATTAATGGTATTATTAAATGAAGCATTTCCTTTAAGTAAATCTCAAAATAATAAAATAAATAATAAATTATCAAAAAATCATTCAATGTTAGACAATACTGAACATAAGCCAAATCTCGATAATCATCACCATCAGCAACAACAACATCAGCAGCAGATTATATCTCCTGAAGGTTCTTGTAAATCAGAAGAAAGTAAGTGTGATTTTATTTCATTGAAAAATATTGTTAATAATGAATTATGTAATTCGATTAGTTGACTTTTATTTTAATGATTCAGTTACAAGTTGATCATCTAAATCTGTGGTTTATGCTATTTATGTTGACACATGTAAGTAGTATATATCCGTAATCGGAAATGGAATGTTTACTAGCCGGAGATTGAGAAGATTCAATTGAAAGAATAATGAAGTATGTAAAAGATAACTGATGGAAGATGTTTAAATAATGTATTCAATGTATGGTTTTCATATTTTTGTCTAAACAGTGTAAATTTGTATTCAGTGAATAAATTAGTCTTCCATACCAAGTCTTCATTCACTAAAAACTGACTTATTTCAGTTAAAAGCTGAATATAACTATACCGATCTTCAAAGTCATACATAGAGTGTAGCTTAATAGCAAGTACACGAATCTGTATCTATTAAATCAATTAGCCAACAACATAATAGATTATAGTATGTGAAAATTATGTCTAATCTCTTTCTACTCACTGCCTTTTTGCCGTAGCGATGTTGATTACAAAATCGAGAGGATGAAAAGCAAATGTCTGGCGCCCAAAACGGATTAGTGGGTTCGGAGAACTCACTCAGGGTAGTTAGGAAACCATGATTCCAAGCCAATGGTACATATGTGTTCCAGGATCCTGATGGAATAAGTGGCATATAAACTTATTGTCGATCATTGACTACCATTAGACTGCATCCTTTAGCTTTGATTCACCGCCTTGTGGATTAGTCCTTTAGGTCAAACGCTCGGGTCGTGGCCCCCTAGTAAAACCGCCTACTTCGATTTGGGCAGATGGAAAATATCCCAGCTCACACACGAATTCAGTGCTAGTGATGACTGTGCCGGTAGTTAGTGCTAGCCAGAAGTAGGTTATGGTCTGCTCACAGTTTTAGTTGACGGACACCGTTATCTGACCTGCGATCAACAAGTCTCCATCGACCACCTAGACAACTGTCTTCTGTGCCTAGACGCCCGACCTGATCATTCAATCTTCCGTCTAGTACCATGATATCTGTTGAACGCACTTTCATTAGAAGGAAATTTAACTGGTGGTAAAACTCATTCATGATCGTATCCGGGCTGCAATCAGTCTGAGTGTAGTCGGAGATGACGAAAAGATATAGTTTCTCACACCTATTTCTTCATACGTTGATGGAACTTTCTAATCTAATAATACATAACAGATTGCTAATGAAGATCCAGTCGGGCAGTGGTGCTTCCTCTCTATCGCTTAGTGTGACAACATATCCAGCAAAACCAGACAAAAAGGCCTCAGAGTCCCCGGATAAACGCACGTGAAAAAATCTTTCTAAAGCGACAAATGTAGAGCGAGTTTGTAGTACTTCAGTAAACCCTCGAATACGGCTGTCGGATAGATAACAGACATTGATGTAGAGACTTTTAAAAGAGATGACTAATTATACAGTATAAACACCTAATTTGTATTTAACCGGTCTTATAATCAACTCATTTGTATTAGGGGGGATCGTCATCTGGATGTATCTGATCGACCCACTTCACAAGCCATTCGCTATCTGGACTCGGTAGCTAAGTAGGATGACGCGGTGTCGTTTGAAGTGAACGTTACTGGGTTTAAGTCCTGGAGTAAATATTGACTACGGGATGCAGGTAAACCCAGCTGATTAGTCCCAAAAGGAACAGAATGCGCGTCCTGGATCTTACTGTTGACCATTATCCATCTCGGCTTATAAGGTCTTATAATTAGTTTGAACCTTTTCACGAAGATAATTATTGCTGCTTTGTTATTTATCTGGTGTTAGTCGGCAAGATTGTACCTACAACCTTGAAGGAACTACTGACCTTTCATTGTGCTGATTGTGGTAGGCTTTACTGATGCGTACCGATTCGCACAAAACAGCTTCTTAGTTTATGGTTGACTGCCTCCAACCACTTAACATCTCAACATAGTGTGCGTGATTTGTCGAGTCCATTTGACAAGTTGCGGGCTATATCGTAACTTGATCGTTAGCATTCGATCAACACTAAAAGCTAGGCAAACACGTGACACCGGTTAGTTACAATTATTGCTAAATTGAGACATTGAACCATCGTGGTGATTAGTATATTTTCTACATCACGTTATGCTCTTTGGAAAAATAACAAGAAATTGTATATTAGAATAAAAAATATATCAGATCTAATGTATATGTTATGTTCTGAAGAAAGTATGTCCTAGGAGCAAGGCAGTTAGCCGCATGAATCTCAAAATGGTAATTTATTACAATATATTATTGCCTATTTTTACTAAGACTTATTTATTAAAAGTAACTCGAGGTGATTGAATATAGTGATTGATCTCATTATGATTATTATTCGTCTTGTTATCTATTGCTTTATATCTCTTTTTTTCCAGTTGCCCCAAAATTAAGCAGCAGTAAATTGTCATCACCATCATTACCAGTGAATTCAACTGATGAACTCAATCCAAATCGTTTGGACATCCGAGTTGGTTTAATCTTATCTGTTAAAATAGTGAGTAATATAATTATGGATAGCTTTCTCTCTTCGGATCATTTCGTTTTATTACGGTTATTTAGATGTGAATATGTATGTCTGTATGTATATATGTGTGCTTAACTATTTTGTGAACTTAGCTGTTCTTATTTGTTAATCGACATTTAATTTACTTATAGATTGGTTTTGAACTGATTTCTTGCTTAAATTGGGACTATTATGTTGAATAGTGCTATAAGGCTAGGTGCAGTTTATTAGGCAAAGATAGTAAGTCAGTCGATCAGATTGTGAATCTTCATCAAATAAAGTGGTTAATGGTACGTATCACATATACCTAACGAAAATGTGACATCAGTCCATGAAGCAAGAAGCACAAGACATCTATTTTGTCCTAGCTATACGTACTATCTTACTACAACCTTCTGATATCGTGACGACGGTCAGTAATACTATAATCATCGTTCGTCCATTTTCTTAGTTGTAATAAATTTGTGATGTATATTGTGAAATTACTCAATATCATAATTGCTACGAGGCAATAACTTTCACACTGAATGTTGGTGAACGATTTCACAGAAAATGTTCATCCATTTAATAGTCTCCTAGTTGGCATACGAATATTACTTATTTTTTCTCAAATATTTCATTTATATTGGTAACATATGGAACGTATAGAGAAGAGCTTAAATGGTTCTCAAAATTACCGCGTAATTTTAAAACTTATTTTCAACCAATCATTAGAGGGTTTTCGTAAATCAAAAGTGTTTAGCAACAAAATTATTATAATTTAACGATTATAGGAATTTATTAGTTTTTCAAGGCCTTATTATATCAATCTTCCGATCTCATGTTGGTAGACTTCATTAATAAAACGCATACGTAACAAATTCGTATACGTTGCTATGAGTGAGTTACACATTATGTAATAAAGACCTAGTGATATTCTCCAGTTACTCAAGCTGTATTAAGTGAAAGCAACTAAATGGTTGTAAGTTAGACATCGCAATCTTTAAACGGCTACCTCAATAATCTAAGTACAAATTTATTCACATCTGAGGTTTCTTTCTGAATCTTACTTCATCATCAACATCTTTTATTGATGAGTTATAATAATGAAATGATTTAAGATTCAATAATGTTTTCATGTTGATATGTAAATCGTTAATTTATTTGTACCGTTTTTTCCCCACTTCACCAGGTTTCTCTTATCAATTCAATAAATCATTAAGAGAACGATTACCTTACAAATTCACTATGCATAAACTTAAATAAACTAAGACGCTGAACTGATTCACCCGTGTGTGTTAGAAAACAAATGATAAAATGATCACTAAATATTGTTCACTATTGGTTAATTGCTCGAACGATCATTGGGCGATGCTAAAGTGATTCACCTGAAAGCATTGGACGGCTGTTTCGCCCTAGTATAGACACTCCTCGACACTGCGCATCCACGATCCGGCACTCGAGACCGAAGGTCCTGGGTTCTATTCCCGCGTATGCGATTGCGGATGTGCAGTGCTGAGGAGTACTATACTAAGACGAAACGGGAGTTCAAAGTGTCCAGGTTTTGACTGGTGGTGTAGCCAAAATTGACTCATGAATTCAACTGTTAAAATTACTACAGTTTCCACAAATCCCCATTTTGATAAAATTTATCTACTCATTCATGTTTAAAGAGAGTTATAAATTAGTGTAAGGAAGTAGTATTCAGATTACAAGTTAGGGTCAGGAATTGAAGTAGGACTTTTCATCACGAAATGACATCAGCTATAATGTTCAGATGCTGTTTAACCATGTGGAGGAATAAATTTTGCGCCAAAATACAAGACTCCTTATCTTGGTCCGTAAATTATAATCATGCCAAAAAGTTATTGATTTCGAAAAAATTCTCCCAAAAACTCATAAGTTGGTTCTTCTCTCGATTCCTATTGGATCACCTCTATATTCTTTTTTTACTTTGAGCACTTATTTATTTCAAAAACAAAGAATATTTGAGCAAGCCATTGTTTTCACAATAACTTCATCATCAAGATCTACAGTTATAAGTTCATAGTTATTATGATATTTTACTAAGACCAACGTAAAGGCGTGCGTGAATCAGTTTAATATTATATGTTAAAAATGATGAACGTTATCATCTGTTACGATATAAGTACCTCAATATAGTGTTATTTATAAATTCAAAAGGTCATTTAATAAACGTCAGAATGATTTGTAGTAAAGTGTCAAGTTATTATCAATTTAATAGTACTTACTTCTGCTTGTTAGCCCTCGTAAAGGAGCATAGGCCGCCCACCAGCAAATGTAATTGTAATATAATAAAAAATCGTATGAATAAGATGCATAGTAGGAGAATTCCGCCTGGTTAATGGAGGTGACAATAATTCATATGAGAATTAGGAAAAATGAATGTATATATTAAGTAAGATATAAACACACCAGGAATTGGAAGGGATGGGGTTTATAATATCCACTCTAGGTATCTGGTAATCCGGACTGGATTTATTTACTTTGTCAATTACATTTATTTATATTATGTAAAAGAAATCATTCTATGTGTAATTGTTTATCTTTCTCATTTATGGGGTGGCATGGGTGATATGGTATTGTTCTTTTAAAGCATCCAAATGCTGATAGTTTATTTATTGAAGAAGTGGATTTTGGTTCAAGTATTGGTAAACGTACAGTGATTAGTGGATTAGTTGGTGTTTATCCTATGGAAAAATTACTCAATTGTTATGGTATATTTGTGATTAATTTAAAACCAGTGAAAATTCGTGGAATTGAATCTCAGGTATGTATTAATAATAATAATAATAATAATAATAATAATAATAATAATAATAATAATAATAATAATAATAATAATAAGCATCATGTTCTTCTTGATGAGTTTTGTTTACTCTTTTTTCGACATATATATATATATATATATATATATATATATATATATATATATATATATATATGTATATATATGCAAAATGATGGTAGTAATAGATTTCGAGGCCTACATAACTACACTTTTATCAACCTTTGAAGTGAATTAAAAGAAAAACACTACTTAAACACATTAAAACTTGCTGTTTGTTCTATTTGTTGATTGTTAAACAGAATGTACCTTTTAAAAAAAGTTGTTTATCGTTTGTATCATAAACTGACCTTAGTCAGACAACAATTGGGATACAAGAAAAAAAAACATGAACACTGGATAGTAAGCAGAGATGAATGATGGAATCCAGGACACATGTTTCGTCCTATTTAGAAGTCGTAAATAAAGCTAACGATTCCTAATTAGGATGAAGTGAGTGTCCTAAATTCTCCTGCTAGCCACCATCATCTCTGCTTACAGAATGCTTGTAACTTGAAACAATGTCGAGGCAATCTGCTCTGGATGCACATTTACCAAAAAGAGACCGATCAATTGCAGTCCAAACAACCATTACGAAAAATGAGTCAAAAAAACACACGGGGTAACTGTTTCGTTTTAATATGGTACTCATTTATTCTGGGTATCCCTTATATAATTTAACACTTTCAAATCTAGTAAGTACTCATCTAATCTAACCGTTGTCAATGTATATCTAAGACAACAATAGATTGTTTTTTTAGTTGGATTATGAGTTTTTTGCAGTCTGGCCGTGATGACAAGAAAGCAGTTGTATGCTCTTTCTCTCTGTCTAATATGATTAACGATAAGTCCACTTATATTGTCAGTAGGTCCGGCGGCCTGTTTACCAATCGACACATCAATTAATAAACAAAAAGCAAGATGGTGGCGCATATGGATCCTCGAGCTCCTTCTAACCTAGTAGCCAATCAGAATATAAAGATGGAAGTCAGACCAATTTTCTGTTATACTCAATTTAGTCATAATTTGGAACTCATGTTTTAATGAACTAAGACTTGAGCAGAGGAATTTTAATCTATTCTGTCTTGTAAAATAACACACTGCATTTGTAAAATATGAGAACAATACATTGAATACACTATCTGAACATCTTCCTTGAATTGTCTCGTACAAACTCCGTTGTTTTTCCATTCTTGTCACTAATCTCTGACTGCTTTTGTTCTTCTCCTCTGTCAGTAAGAATCCTACTTCCAGTCCCTGACATATACTACTTATATCTCTCGGTATAAGTAACACACCATAATATAGTAATATGCTTAAGACATTTGATCACATAGTAACACATGCAATAAATTAAAATGTCACAATAACTGACACAAAACGAGAGTAATGGAGGTATAATTATTACATATCAGAAAGGTTTTATGGATATTATAGTAATCTCAATGGTTGAGATCATGAGTCAATTGAAGCTAGACCACCATGGGAAATCTGGAATCACTGGACAGCCGTTCCATCCTATTGTGGGACTCCTCAGCAGTGTGCATCCAAGATCCTGCCCCTTCGCGGGATTCGAACTCAGGACCTACCAGTCTCGCGCGCGATCGCCTAATCACTAGATCATTTACACTCTTCGTCATCCTATTATGTTAATCATTATCATCTCTACTGTTTCTAATATATTCTTTTTCAAATGTTATTTTCCTAGGCTATGTTACTTTGTGCTTCATATACTGAGAAGAGTTCATCACTTTTAAAAGTACAACCAATTCATTTATCAAATAAACAAAATCCTATATTAGGTGAACGTTTTGTCTTTCATTCATTAGTTGATAATTCTAAATCATCATCATCATCATTATCATTTAGAGAACCAGATAAATTATTATCATCTAAAACAAAATTATGGGAACAATTATGTCCAGATTTATCAACATCTATTAATCAATATATTCAATGGCGTGATTGGAGATTAGGTTCAATATGTGGTAATAAATGGATTATTGTATCAGATGATGTTCCACCTGGTTCAACTGTACGTTAAATGTTAACAATGAAAAGAAGAATATATAATGAATACAATTAGGAGTTATTTTATGCTTATGTTTATTTCACATTCTGTATCATTTTCAACTTCATACAAATAAAAATTATTTTCTTTGGATTTGAAAAATGTTCTCTCAATTTTATACTAAAGTTATTACTGAACTCATCTTGATGAAGATGTTTCTCAATAGTTTGAAAACAATACACTAATATGGAGAGAGAGTCATTTAAATAGTCAGTTTGGGGGAAGGAGCGTTAGAGCGTAGCACACAGTGTATCAGTATCAGATTTCGGATACCGCACGTCACAACATGCACTTTGTTTACCATGTTTAGATTATAGGTATAAACCTGTGTTAGTGGGACATAGATTGGATCAAAGCATATTTCATGCACGATTGTGTTGCTGCACACTGATTGGCTAATTATTAACCAATCAGCACTATCTGATACTTAGAGAAGACTTTAGAATCTTCTCATGTAGAAACTATAAATATACTATCGTTTTTCTTATTGTGCTTCTTGGTTCCATCTATCCTTGTTATTTGAAATATACTTTCGTTCTCGTTCAACCGAGTGAATTGGTGTCCAAGATTACTAAGCAATAGGAATAGCTGGGTTGTAATAAGAGAGAATTATAACAACCCGACATCATCATCATTTGCTTTTGTCTGAAGAGCTTGATATTAGTTTCTAATACATTGAAAAATCAGTGTTGTACATTGTTAACTTAATAAATTTATACAGGAGTGAAGTATTAAAAGGTTAGATTAAGCATATTTTAATCAGACAATTTAATGTTTATTCTGACCAACTCAGAAAAACGATTTCACTGTCATTTGTTTGGAATATATGATCTCTCCATTAAGTATTTGAACTGAATTCTTAGGGTTGCTAGTCTCTCTCATCGTTTCTAAACGCTTACCGTATTGAATCAATGTGACCTAAGTAATCAGTCTTTATTCAAATGACTAATCCGCCTATCCTATAAAACTAATAAAATGGACAAATCAAGGCAATCCCGATATTTGGCAACAAAAACTGATCGAAATTCAGTTCGTGTTATCAACAATGTGATAATTCAAGCTCTTACTGATAAGAAAAACAACATCATGCCTATTGGCTATCTAAACTCAGTAACCTAATGGAACATGCGTTGGACATTTTAAACAAAAGGTGCTGGATCCGAGTCTCAACGTAAAAAATCAACATTGGAATATAGGTATATCCAATGGACTAGTCCCAAACCAATTTATCAAGGTTGTAATTTGTGTAGTCTGTCTACTAAATACATGTACTTGAGAGCTTAAATCGAAGTTTGGAGTATATTCATCTTATTCTCTTCGTATGATTTGTTTTTGCCGACAAACCAAAAATTACTTACGTAGGGGACAACATGAACGATAAAACATGATAAGACAATGTACGTGGAAGTCTGGTTTTAAAGGAATTTTTAAATGTATGTGCCATGAATTAGTACTTCACATCCGAATAGTTCCATTGGAACACTAGGATACTATAATCAAACAACTACTGTTCTTCCAACCAGTATTAACTGTAATCAAGTCCTGATGTTTACCTTTTAAATACAATACTGAAAGGCCTAGATCCGTCATTTAGTTATCTTATTGAAAACCATTTAATAACAAATGAATACATTTCTGGCCTATAAACCACACGTTCTAATTATCTGTTTGTCACATGAATATATGTATGCTCAAATCAAGGTTATATTTTGTACAAGTTACGTTGATTGATTGCTAAGTAGTTAACGATTAGTGCCATGCTTGTCCTCAATCCTCAGACCACATAACACTGTGATCGATAGAATTTGATCACCACCAAAGGACTAGATCAAAATGACATTGGTCACTATTCAATATCAATATAATTATCTCGGTGTTATAAGGATTCATTTGGCACCAAAACAGCTTAGTGGTAATATATAGGACTGTGAATACGGATTACATATGTTTAAAATCCCATGAGACCTATCAGTCGCCTTAAGATTACAGATGTATTTTTTGTATATGAATGCTGATTAGCGTGAAACCTAGATAAAACAATATTTTTTTGTTGACAACCTAACATTTTTCACAAATATTGAATTTCATCAAAAGTAAGATTGTCCTAGAAAATATTAGTTTCACATCACAGTCTGATGCCAGCCAGGGAACTACCTATCATTGCATACTCACTACCATTGTAGAGAATGGAAACCAAGCTTTTCATGCCTCATAAAAAGTTGAAACCGATAATCTAGAATTATGCTGTAGCATAAATGCTGTGAAAGTGAATCATTTGTTCAATGTACATCTAATTGTGTTAACAGATTAAATTTAATATCAAATGTTTCTCAGATATATGAGGCATTATGGTTTATTCCTGTGTTCATTGATTTTCCTATTCATGATTAAATTAAAGTTATTATTATCATCACTATGGGGTTGTAGAAGTTGTTAAGATGTTTTATTGAGATCATGAATCGATTGATGTTAGACCTTCATTGGAAACCTGGAAGCATAGGATGGCCATTTCGTCCTAGTACAAAACTTTCCAGCAGTGCGCATTCGCGATCCCGCTCGCGAACGCCTAACCTGTAGACCACCCAGACGGCATCTAGTGGTGTTGATGTGTAACTTCAATCAATCCACGGAATTGCGCGACCATCTTCCATTGCCTCAGGTAGATACATATCTCTGCCTGACGAGTAGATGGGTTGAAGTTAGACAATAACACCATTGGATGCCGGCTCAGTGGTCTAGAGGTTATTATCATCAGGAATCGTGTTGTGCACTCAATGAGGTCAATGAAGCGGCAGAATAAGAAATTTTAAAATACTATTGATTTGTGTTTAATTGCAACATAGTTGATTAAATTATTCTCTAAATTATAATAATTTTCTCTTTAATGGATTCTATTCAATCCTATTAACAGTGATAAGTGACATAGATGTAAAAAATTGATGAACATTTCTGTAGAAATCGACATACTACTATAGGGAACGACAAAATTAAGAATTTTCTGGGACGGAATAATTGTGGTTGGGAGTGGAAATCAAGACGCGTATTTCGTCCGATTGTCTACGTCTACGCTAGGGATCGAACCCAGTATTCTTTGCTTTAAATACCTACTTGGTTATTCACTGACCTACTGAATCTAGTTGTCAACTGGTTAAAGCAGTATGATTTTCAAATCAATGTTAGTATTGATTTAAATTATCCCATTAATGATATTCAGCACTAAAAATATGATTGATCTTTATTGACATATGTACATCCTGTACGGACTATCCCCGTTTCAGTTATCTAAATGATGATTCCTAAATAAGACAAAACCCCCATCTTGGATTCTACTACTAATCGGAATCTTTCTGTTTCAGATAATATATCAAAGTGGCTATATTCAAATAATCTTAACAAAAATTGATTAAATTCCAGTTTCTTATATCATCAACTGATTAACTCAAACACTTCCAGATAATCAATATAGGATTGTGAAGATTATTAAGTTATTGATTGAGTTCATGAAATGATTGATGTTAGACCGCCATAAAAAACCTGGAAGCACTGAACGGCCATCTCATCCTATTGCGGGACTCGTCAGTAGTGAGCATCCACGATCTTGCTTCGCGAGATTCGGACCAAGGACCTATCAATCTCTCTCGCAAGTGCCTAACCTACTACACCACTGAGCCGGCATCCAATGGTGTTAATGTCTAACTTCAACTAATCCACAAGATTGCGCGACCGTCTTCCATTGTACTGAGGTAGATACCTGTCAGATAATGTTATGAAAACATATGTATATTTACACTATTCTGATGACAAAAAAGAACACTTTGTGCACACATATCAGTCAAACTTCACTATGTTAATGCAAAAAAGATTAATTAGGTATGATCGTACTTGTATCAATATTTCTTCATGGTTTTTATGGATTTATAAGATCTTTTTCTTGTATTACGATCGATTGTTGATTTCAATGATAAAGGATGATTATTACCATCTTCATTATTTCTCATTTGATCCCTTTCATGATCATTATCGTTACTATTAGTAACAATATGGATACCACCAGTATCGTTAACATTTCTATGTATTTTCTGAGATTTACATGTGTGATTTTTGTTTGATTGTAGTGATTCATTTAAAGGTTTTGTTAAATTATTTTCATTGTTTGTCAATTTTAATCCAAGATGAACCTGGCAAACAAGGATAATTATAGTATTAGAATAAGATAATTTGTGAAGATTGTAAAATTTTCATAGTTTGAATCATGAAGTGATCTTAGAACCCCATTAAAATTGTGAAAGAACTGGACGACAGACTCATCTGTTTATGCGATTTCTCAGCAGTGTGAATCCACAACCCAGCATTCGGGAATTGAACTTACAATGTTTGATTGGATATGAAACAGTCGTTTAGCATAGGCAATGGATGAGAGCTGCTGAATATCGTGAATTGTTTGGAGTTAAACATGTACACTATTGGATGCCTCCTCAGTTATGTGAAGGCTAAGAGTGCACGTGCGAGATCGATAGTCTTAGATTCGATTCCCGAAATCGGGATCGTAGATGCTCACTGCCGAGGAGTCTCATATTGGGACGAAACAGCCTTCCAATGTTTCAGGTTTTCACTGGTGGTCTAGCTGAGATTAGCTGGCGGTTTATACTATGGAAATATATGTGCGACAAATAATCACTTATTAATAATTTTCTTATACTACTAAATCCGATTGTTATAAATAGAATAGGAAAATGAATTGTTCGAAAAAATAGTGTTATGACGGAAGTTGGCCTTTTTCACAGTACTATGTCATGTGATACATAGTTATTCCAGTCTGACCGTTGCAATTAGAAGTCGATCATTATCAAAACATTAGTTCTTCAAGTTATTTTCTTGATAGATAATAGTTCTCACGAGTAATAATATTGCGATAATATCTATACAATATTATCATATCTATATTAATATATCTATACAATTGATGTCCCCGAATGCCCTGGTACGGCTGAGAGTGGGAAGAGAACCCTCTCGAAATGCTCTCACATGGCCACGCGCATACAGCCTCTGTTAGGCAAGTCCTATTCACTTCCTCCTCATGGCGAGAGTGTTG